GGCTATTAGTCTTAATTCGGACCCACGCATTTCTAACCTGAAGGTTCAACTAGTTGGCCTATCGTGTGTAGGCCTTAATCTAGATCTGGACAAATTCTCTCGTGTATACTAATCGGTAGATAGATCAGGGATGTAACAGAAGTAAATAATTTACATACTAAATAAAACATATTAGTATTCAAAAGTGATTTTGGAAATATTTGTCACTAGAAATCGCTTCACAATTCTGAACTGCGACTGAATATTTTATTTGAAACCATTCATATTGCCACCTTGGCACCAATGTTAAGCGAGCGTATTAAACTGGCGAAAAGACTCACTGAAAACGTGTCTGACTTTATGACTCCTCAACATATGTTGGAAACCAGTTAATCTAGTAGAATGAGTAGCATTTGAAGTGAAGAATTTAACATTCTATGAATGCATTTATAGAGCAAATAACCTCTGACTAAAACACCCTTAAGTTTTGATTATATGCAAAGTTAAGCTGAATTGATGGACTGATAGTAATACAAAACCGAAAACATAAACAAATTTAAAGTGGCGATATTGAATAGGAATTATTTAAGTAACTTGTATCATTATCAAGCTTATAGTAAACATCTTGATTACAATTTTGTTTCATCGGTAGCTTAAGCGTTTTGTTTTTGTTATTGATAGACTGATAAACAATCTAATTTCCATCTAAAAAATCCCTTTACAAATCACAAAAATAGTGAACAATTGAAATCGGTTTTCTATTGAAAATAATAGAATCTTAATTATTTTTTAAAGTTTAGAGCAAAATACTTAAAATAATATGCTTCAATTATTGATATAAAAATCATTGAACTCTATTAGCACACGTATTAGTTACCGAGATAACTTATCCCATAGTTTGATCATGATATTACCCATGACTAATTGTTTATCTGTTATCAACCAACTGGTGAATAACTCCTCACTGAAAAGATCTGTCATATTTATATTGGCTTTCGTAATGTTATTTATGTATTATCAACTAATGAAATATTTACTTAATGATAATAAACATTTATTTATGTTAATTTCAAAGACTATTCCAAGCACAAAAAACTACAGTTATCATACTAAATTTAAAAAATACTATAGTTATGATGAAATAAATGATCGAAATAAAGTTATAATTTGTTTCTATAAAAAATAACTAAATAAATATCAGAAGGGGGTTTGTGGATATTATTGTAACTTTAATAGTTGAGATTATGAGTCGATTGAAGTTAGACCACCATAGAAAACCTGGAAGCACTGGACGACCGTTCTCGCTGATGCAGATGAATTCACTTTTATCTTTCGATCATGAATTCCAACCTTCCTTCCCACACACGTTTTCGCTCTCTTTTTGAAACATCCAAAGGTTCACTCTCTCACTGTCATTTCTGCTACATTATTCCGATCTCTTTTGGGATTCATGTTTTCATTCTTAACCTCACGTACTATAACTGTATGACAACTCCGGACAACCATTTACGATAGGCTTTTTTTGTTGATGATTACCGACTGATTTATATCTGTGAATAGGTTATATTTAACACTTCTGCACGAATAAGCTACGATTACCGTTATCATTTTACTGTCTATAAATTGAGATGTAATGATTATATTAGGCAATAAGAAATCTTCAAAATAATTTTCTCAAGTATATGAAAGTAATCAAACGTATGACTATGTAATTTTTTGGAAACGCTAATTTTCTGGATGAAAGGCACATGCAAATATTTTTCTTTCTGGCCATAGTTAATATTAACATTGTTTCTTACTGCGAAAATATTATTTCAGCCACAGGACTCTGGCTATTGCATATTATCATTATAGATACAGAACAGGTTCCATAATGAAATACTTCATCAAACCTTAAATCGGAGCCCAAGCAATAGGTAAATAGTATTCGAATTTCTTTTTAAAAAATATATGGGATCTAGTGTTGAACTATTAAGCTTGGTGACCGTATTTTTTTCCCAAACGATTATATTTATGGTAAAGAAGATTTCACACCACTTACAAAGGATGAGAGTTAAATTCATTTTGTATTTTCTTTCGATCTTTCCATAGATGTTTAGGACTGCAATCGATCCATCTCTTATTAGCATACTGTGCGGATCGCCTCGATATTGCCTAAAGTCACAAGCATTATAATCAAAGATGAATGGTGACTAGCAGTGAAGTCCAGGACGCGCGTTTCGTCCCATTTGGGATTCGTCAGCTGGATGCATCTGCATCTCCAGGACTCGAACCCAGTAACGTTCGCTTCAAACGCCATCGTGTTATCCACTTAGCAGGTGCATCCAGCTGACGAGTCTCAGATAGGACGGAACGTGCGTTATGCATTCTACTGTTAGCCACCATTCATCTTTATCTGGTCTTTTATTTATAGTCATAGATTTTGTACTCTCATCGTTAACATAAATCAGAATAGCCAGCTTAGAAAATATAATTTAGTAACAATATATCTTAATAAATCGAAATCGTTGTAACAAACTGTTACATTACGACGCATTTTACTTACAAGAGCATTATGGAAGATAGCACAATCTTTTAGCGGGCATCGGATTTGGTTCAATAATCCTACCAAATCTTCTGGCTCAATTATCAACATAGAACTTCTATGTATCATTTTTTAAAAATCAAATTTTATTTTATTCATAATACAAATATGAATTCACATACAAAACTCATGATTATTTTTGTTTTCTATAGGAAAATTGCTCCAATCACACCGGTTGTGTTTAGATAAACAAAGAAATTATGATAAAGCATTGAATAGCTAAGAAATTGTTACAAATACACCATTGGTTATTACAATAGAATATGAACTGATAACTGGAAGACCTTAAAATATATCATTATTCACTAATAGAAAATACTGCACGGTGAAACGTGTGAAATTTTGTTAAGTTTGATTCAATTTGTTGAAAACTAGTATCCTTGCCCAAATCCCACCCATATATATATATATATATATATATCGCACTGATGAGGAGTCCCACAATAAGACGAAATGGCCGTCCAGTGCTTCCAGGTTTTCAATGATGGTCTAACATCAATCGGTTCATGATCTCAACCAAAAACCTAACAATTTCCACAACCCCTAAACTGATAAAATAACTCAGCTCTAGTATCATAGCCAAATAAGAAAATAATCTTTTTAAATTTATCCACAGTGTTACCCTAATTATAAGAGTATAGTCTATACTTATTTATTGAGATCATGAACCGATCAATGTTAGACCACCGTTGAAATCCTGGACACACTGGACAGCCGTTCTGTCCTAAAATGGGAAACACAACAGTATGGATCAACGATGCCGCATGCGGGATTCCAACTCGGGAACTTCAGTCTGAATTGGCATGCAACAATTTTAATGCCTGATATCGACTAATCCATTATTTGATGGAAGAAAACGGTCCAGTTAATCACCTCTTTAAATGACAATTAAATGTATTTTAATGAACACCCTAGTTGTATGAATCATCGTCAAGCTACAGGTTCACTTTCATCATCACTCGTCAAAATGTAACACAAAACTAAATGTTTCATTTTAGTTAATGGTACTGGAACTTTCTTATCCTATATATTTCTGTCCTTGAGTTTTCAGTTCACTTAAAGTCTGTGGAAGTTGCTGCAGGCTAATATCTTTCTCACCAATACATTCTTTAAGTAATCACATGTAATCACCTGGTAGATTTTCTGTACTCTTTCTCAACAGATGTGTCATCACAAAAGTACATTTTATTCGCGATATCATTGAGTACAATCAGAGGTAGAGTTGTTGTGGTATCTTTCTCTACATTTATTTGAACTGTTAACTAAATCTTACTTTCTTCTTTAGAGTTCATTTTCAATAGAAAGCGTTATTATAAAATTTTTCTTATAAATAAAGGATGCTATAAAAAAATTAATTCATTCAGTTCAGTTATCCTTAATAACCAACTGTTCACTCTTCATAACTAAATTAGTATCATGTCAAAGCAAACATGTTACTCTGCATCAGATTGTGTCCTTGGTAGTAGGATGTGCTGTTGTTGGTCGACAACCCTCTAGACATAAAGGTTTTAAGGTTCTTTATTTGTTTTGTTTTTTTGAAGGAACTTATAAGAGTATCTAATTGTAAGACTGAAAAATATAATACTACATATACCACATTTTACACAATGACACACATAGTGAGATATTAGCTAGTCATTCTCAGCACATCAGTTTTAAAAGTAACTGTCAATCAACTTGTTGTTACTAATCCAGAATTTCAAACGTATGAAGCGGTCTATTTATGATGACTATAAACCCATTCGAATGAGTGTTGATTTACATCAACATTGAATACATTGGTCGCTGCAAATATTTGGGATCATTTCTAGTTTCAATCCTACCTGTTTAACGCTCATTTTGCTGCTAAAGCTGTCTATATGCTATCTGAAAGTGTAAGTTTGGTAGGTGACCGATATTTTCTAAAAACTATGAACCGTTACAAATAGAAAAATTTATCCAAAAATCTGTAATCAAAAAGTTCAGTTGTTTAAATTAAGTGATTTATGAAGTTTCATTCATTTTTAGTTCGGTACATATTCGTGATGAATGTCATTTTCAAACGTGACTTCATTCTCTTTTTATACTGTTTATCCACTGAATGTAAAATTGATACAGAATTTGTTGTCTTGCAAGATGAAATATTCAAAGATGACCAGTTGTGAGTTCTATAGAAAGGAGAAATCTAATGGACCAAGCGAATACATAAAGATGGAGGTTACATACTATAACTGCTTTGTTTAAAGGGTTAGCTTAAAAGAATAGTTAGAATAACCATAGGTTATTACTAGTAATTACAAACTTCACTTTATGAGTTATTATGTCCAGTGCATCAATTCTGAATAACTGGTTAGCATCATTGAATATATTACTGAAAATAAGTCTTGAAAATGTAAATAAAAATGGAATAACACGAAAAAATAGTTTTTCTTCTAAATAACTTTAATCAATTCTTAATTCATGTGCACTGAGTAATATCTTGCCCGTCAGCAACATGACCAAATGAAGTAGGATGTCCATTAATTTCTAACTTCTTTATACAACCATTGAAATTTTTGGATTTGATAAAAACATTCTCTTTATGTGAAGATGAATATCCATTACTCATCAGTTCCAGGTATCGTCTTTGTGCATGTAGAGTTTCAGGGATTCCTCCTAAAAGAAAAGCAGCATTACTTCTTTAAATAACACTATAAATTTTATATAAGTAGAGTCTACTAGAAACGCTTAATTAATAATATAAAAATAAACTGGTAGTATTAAGAACTTAAATCAGACCTATTTCTCATTGTTTTGATCGCTTTAGAAAGATCGAGTGGTAAATAGACTAAACAAATGCAAAATACTCAACTTTTTCCTGTAAGGAATGATTAACAGTAAATGAGTAGTCGGGAACATTTTGGATACTGATTATTTATTGCACATGTTTCTATGTTTCAATATTTCCATCATAAGGTGTTACGTAATAGTATATATTATTCTTTAAAAATTATCTAATTATTGCCTACTTCTATAGCAAATACAGGTCTTTCAGTTTAGTTTTTGGTTGAGATCATGAATTAATTGATGTTAGACCACCGTTGGAAACCTGGAAGCACTGGACGGCCGTTTCATCCTAGTATGGGACTCTTCACCAGTGCGCATCCACGATCCCGCACCCCGCGGGATCCGAACCTAGGACCTACTGGCTTCGCGCCTGAGCACTTAACCATTAGACCACTGAGCCGGCATCCAGTGGTGTTAGTGTCTAACATCAACCAATCTTTCAGTTTAATTGACAAACGTACGGTATTTTACCTGACACTCCATAAATAATAATCTGTTTGGTCATTCAGGTATCTTGTTTATTAAGCTGTTGTACGAAATACGAATGTTGACAATTGCGACATGTAATGTCTATTATGATCTGGTTAGTTATTAACTATCCAATGTAAATACTTCTGGTGTAATATCATTTGCAGATGTAAATTTTAAGAATTATGATTACGATTGAATATACATATGTTTACCAAAGGACATTTTAACCGATGCTTAATCTACAACAAATTCACCAGTTATTTACAAAACATACTCAGACGTTGTATGTTTGTTTTTTGAAGTCTACACATGTGTGTTGTAGAATTAGCAATCTTCACACTTCACAACTCGTCTGAATTCCTCATATGTTTGAGATTCCGTGAACCAACTTTTGTACTCATAAATCAATTTTTTTCAAAATCTAGGTGAAACATTTAGTACTTTATGAATGATTATCTGACTCTTCTGTCATTCCAATTGGTTTACGTAGGAAATGACCATAACGTTATATTCACAATTGTTGTCCAGAAAATTAAATATTCTTTGGTAAACGGTAGCATGGAGTTCACTTACAGAGAAGCTTTAAAACTTTAGGTCGTTCTATTTTAAAAGAAGTGATAACTCCTTACTATGTTTTTATTCTGTTTTTTAATCACAATATTTATTTCCATTAGTAATAGTGATAATATAAACAGAATTAGGTGAGCTACATTATTTGCTTTTAAAAAGGATGACCTGATTTAAACAGGAATGGGAACTATAATATTATGAATAGAACATGACTTTATCGATTTACCAAAGAACAATTGAACCGGTTGCACTTCGTTTTCTTTAAAATAGATTTGAGCAACTTGTGATTGGTTGATAAATAGTGTAATGGCCTTTGAACTTCTAGATAGCAAGCATTAAAAAATCAACAGGTCAAAAATTCAATAAGTCAACATTTGATATTCAGAGCATGGAAACAGGGAAACAACGTGTAACTTAAATATTCCTATCATAATGGCCTTTTATGGAGAATGTGTTCGTTTTAATGACTGAATTCATGTTTCGACTTACGCTAGACCACCATTGTAAACCTGCAATCACTGAGCGGCCGTATTAGGACGAAACGGCAGTCCAATGATTCCAGGTTTTCACTGGTGGTCCAACTTAGATCGAATCATGAATTTAACTTATATATTCCGTGATAATAATATCACGGTGGATATGGTTCATCTAAATCCGCAAAATATATCAATTATGTAGTTGAGTTTATCTAAATTCCCATACCTAATTTGTTAGGTTTGGAAACATCGTTGTTAAACAAGGCTTGAAACAGAATTTCCGAAGAGAAAGTTTGCCACTACACATTATCAGACCATGGTAAGATGAATGTGATTATGTATAAAGATGAAGAAAGTCTGTGTAATAACAATGACGGTCTCTTAAACTACGTAGTTATTTTGAATATACAGTACATGGAATAAGAAGTAAGACTTAAGATGCAATCAACACCATATCATGAAAATCTATTTTCTGTTTTCTGCTGCACCAAAACGGTAAATATACAGAGAGGATTGTCTAATAGTTCCTTTAATTGATGTTCAATTTCTATTTATTACTAATCCCAATCTCTTGAAGATAATACCTTTTATTTTTCTGTAAAGAATTGATTTATATCATGAAGGAATGAAACTATTTATAACAATCAATTTGACCAAGACAAGTATTAAAGAATTCAAAAACTAATTTTACTCGGTCTTTTATGTAAGACTGTTATATGGAAATCTATTGTAGAATGCAGTCTGCCATGAATAATGTAAAGTCAACAACTTCCGTTTCTTTACACAACCTCAACTACTGGATAAGAAAATCGATTATCTAATTTATATGTATAAATACAATGAAATGAAAGTAGAGGAAGGAGAACACAATATACTGAATGGTAAAGATGAATCACACGGCGTGACAATATATGACGGGCTGAACAAAATAAATTTAACTGAGTATGAAAAGAGAAATCAAAAATGTGTACATATATAATCTTGTGCTAAAGTACAAAAACTACTAGTATATTGAACCAACTAAATAGTTTGATTACCTTTAATATACAGTGCAAAAACTATTATGCGACAAATTTCATGGCGACCCAGTATGTTTTGATGACTTAATGGAATATTAAGAATAAACCATAGATGCTGATGTGACGTATCTAAGTTGACTTATTCGGAGGTCTGACCAGTGATTTTGATATCTTTAGACAAACGTCTGCTAAATATCAATTGAACGTGTTTGGCTCAAAAAATGATTGCTAAATTCCAGATAATTTGTCGTTTTATCACTCAGGAGCTTGAAAACTCTAATACGTATATTTAAAGCGATTTCTTTCTTTATCTTAACTGTTCATGATAATTTATAAGATAAATCTGTCTAAATTTGCCTTAAAATTTCAAGTTAATATTTAAAGCATTTACAGCTTTTGAAATTCCTCATTCTAGTCACTTCTCGGACTAAATATGAATGATTGCCAAAAATTACTATCAATGACTCTCGAAATAAGTATCCATTTGAATACGTTGTATGAATAAGGACAAAGTTTACTGTGGATTTACATGTAATTCATATAACATATTTTTAAGTCATGTCGACACAAATCAAAAAATGATATATTTATCAACGGTGACTAACTTTGTAAGTATGAGTTTGTGCCAATCGTGTCTCAACTCTAACTTCTCCGAAATGTCATACATTTGTATCAACATACGTTGGCTAAATTGGTTACGGCCAATTTTCCATAATTCATCATTGTTCGAGGATTGATTAGTCACGTTAGATAAGGTGACTATATATTTTTCAGTGTCTACATACTCTAGACCTAATTTTAGTCTTCTGCTGGAAAGAAGCTGAATTAATATATTTTGTATTTTGTGTACACCTTGAAATACACCATAGACCAAATATTGTTTGAACAACTTAACTGATGCGTTACTTGTTGACGGATAATTTTTCATAGAAGTAATGCCATTTCCCAAACTTTTGTTGGATAGCCGAAATTCAAGCGATATATGATAGTGACGACTATTGGGTCTAAAAAGTAAATAATAAAAGATTAACAGTGAATGCTAAATGTTCTCTCAGTAAGTTAGTGTCATAACATATAAATCCTAGCAGCTATGGCCCAATACAACAGTAAGGAAGTTAACAAAATTTATCCAAACAATATTGTTGAATTAGAAAATAGCATAAATAACAAAGGAGTTATGAACAATACATAGAAATAATTTCATGAACACATTATGAGTTAATATAATCTAAACTCTAACTAAGCAAATAATACTCATGCATCATGAGGGACAGTATTCGAACTTTCATAAAACCGATTAACGAGTGGCTATTGACAAAAGTTAGTAGTTTATTGACGCAAACAATAAATAAATTTAATTCAGGTAGTAGAAAAATGAAAGTTAAACGGATTTTAATAAGTACTTTCTGAAATACATGGGAAAATTTAATTCATTTAGTATGGCAAGCTATTACTCTTGAATTGTTTCATTTTATTATACATCGTAGAGCTCCTAGAATATTTGGGTAATGTTACAATTATTATGAATAAGTTATCGCTTGGAAGTGATAACGCAAATAGATACAAATAAAAGCTAATCAGCGTTTCTATGAACTAAAATCATCAAGCTATCAAACTTAAATATTAAAGATAAGCATCTATGTTACATATTGTCATTGAAATTAAGTACTGTTTTCAAATGGCTTTACAACGAGCATGATGACGACCAACGTGAGACTGAACATCTGCTCATTGTGATATAATGAATATATATATTTATTATTATTGGTAAACATGAGAGTCAGCCTTAGAAATACAAACGAAGTTTGTTTCAAGTCATTATTTGCTCTTAAGGAGGACGTTTCAGTAGAAACAACGTACATTCGTTATAACCAATGAATTATGAATATACATTTAATCGAATTTTGACTTTATCCAGTCATCTAATATTGATTTTCTTAGTTTTTAGAATTGAATATCAATTAAACTGTCAATCAGCATCATATAATAAGGGTTGGGTCATTTCTGACAGAATTAAATTTTTATAAAATTTACAGGGTTACTGATAAGGAAGAAATAAAAGCTTCTCGTCGTTTTCCTTCCTTTGATAAATCAAAGGTTTATTGTGTTCATTCTCTTTGTTCTACAAACAGTCTCTATATTCTCATTAACTAAATCTATAAAGGTTTAACTTTTTGAGGGAAATTCGATAATTAACGCTTCCAACAAAAATCATTTTTAAACGGAGATGAACTTCTCAGTACTTCTCTAGAAGAAGTAAAATAATAGTCCCCAAAACATTATAAAGTTGAATTTCACTTGATCATACTATAATCCCGGACTAACATCACTTGTAATGTCACTGAATTACGACGAAAACCGAATAGACGGTTTGTCACCTGGAGTTGTAAATGCAAATTTTTTGAACATGAATCTGTAATCCAAATGTATTGTGCTTGCTTAGATAGCTGAATAGTTCGTGTAAAATCGCGTAAGATACCCAATAATTCAGCTGAAATCAGTTCAGAATGTGAAGTGACTTCAAGTTTTTAAAAAAATGTTGAGAGCCTACTATCTTTATAACTGCGCTTGTCATATGATTAAACAGACGAATATTCATGTTTCTTATTTATTAAAATCGTTCGAGACTTAACTTCCAAGTGACTTGACTAAATATCTGCTATTCATAAAACACACTAGGTGTATTTTGCTTATACCAGGAATTAGAATTAGAAATAAAACATTGTATTTTAAACCTTTTAAGTCATTCTGTCATCATCGCTGATAAAGATCGTACAACTTCTGGAGCAGTTTAAAAACATAATCCATCGCTTGTACTTTGTCGTAACGGACTTGACTACATATTTCATAACATCACTCGTCTCATATCAATGATTATAATTTCATGAACACAATGTGGTTCAACTGATCAAAATTTCGGGTTTGTAGACTAGTATTGTTGCAGTCATCATAAAAAGGAAAGCAGAAGCCAGTTATTTAAAATATATATATGATAAACGTTAAATAAAATCTTAACCAACCTATAATTTAATGAGTTCGTTGTGAATTTCACGAAACTGTTTTCTCCAAATGCAGCTAATTGCTTCCCTTGCCAATTAATTTCTTAATGAATATTATCAGTGGGTGTTCAGAGAAAAAAAAACATAAACTGAAAATGATAAAATTTCAGTTATTTTGACTACTAATTAGCTCGATAATAATTTCAGTTATCTCATTCTTTTTTCTCAATGATGTATACTATCTGATTGTACGTATTAACAGCTTACCATTAAATATATGCTGCAGATATGTTATGCAATACTAGTTTCCTCAGTAATTAGATCAGCTTTCCCTCCGATCGTCAGATAGATACATGGTATTTCTTAATTTAAGGGTATCAATACTCAGAATTCACTACTTAAATCAGGAGTACATGTATATGTTGCAAAAATTTGATTTTGATTCCACATTGAAGGAGTTTTATTAACTCTCTTTAGAATAGTTAACCTTATTAGTATATCAATCTACTTGACTAATAAGGGTTTAGTTATTGTGCAACCTTTAAAAAACAATTTTTATAAATCCACGAGTTATGTAATTTGTTTACGAGAAACGTTGGTTATTCAAACTTTCGTGAGTATTTTCAGGACACACTATGGAAAAGTTAAACAACGTAATTTTCATCAAAAGTGGATTTTTAATTCACTTGGTATTGTTTTACTTGAATCTTCTCATTGATGTTTAAGACTGAGATTGATCAGTCTCTTATTGGTATATGTGCATCCTGTGCTTGTTGCCTCGATATTGCCCTAATTTACGAGTATTATAAGCAAAAATGGATAGCGGCTAGCAGTGCAACCCAGAACGCGCGTTTTGTTCCATTCGGGACACGTCAGCTGGATGTACCTGCATCTCAGAGTTGATGTTCACTCTGGGACTCGAACCCAGTACCATTCACTTCAAACGCCATCGTGTTATCCACTTAGCTACTAAGTCTTGTCAGCCACTTGCTTGTGCAATGGGGTGAATTTAAATTCACGTGGTATTATTGTGCTTGAATCTTCCCATTGATGTTTAGGACTTCAATTGATCGGTGAACATCAACCTTAAGATATAGGTACATCCAGCTGACGAGTCCCAAATGAGACGAAACGCGCTTTGTCCTGGATTCCACCGCTAGCCACTAACCATTTTTGCTTATAAAGTAGATTTTTTATTCGAATAGATGTAGCTTGATATGTCATCAATCTTTTATTTCCTGGACATTAGTTTGTAGTCACTTTAAAGTTTACTGAGTCTAAATAACTTTCACGGAAATGTACATAACTTTGTTTAACTTCCAAAATTGTATGTGTCACAGTTCAACTTAGAGAAAAACAAACTTATTGAAACTCATACAAATCCTGCTATTACCAAACTACATTGATGCAGATGAACAAACATCAAACCAACGAATCGGGGGTAGATATTTCCCTTCAGTTTATTGATAATTTTGACATCTTTACTATCTATAGAGTTTGTATTTTTCAATGAGTAATAAACAAAACAAAATTATCAGAATGATGTTCAGGAAATTGTCAAGTTTTATCGAAATCCTTTAAAACTTAGAAGCACTAGGCGAGCGTTTCATTATAGTATAGGACTTCTCGGAAGTAATCATCTAAGACTCCCTAACCGGGAGTTGAGCCGAAGACCTTCAATCTTGTACATTAACAAAAATCCCAACTTATTGATGTTAACACAATCAAAATTCTTGTGTTGTATAGTGAATGAATTGGTAAGGATAATAAATATGTGTAGACCCTTAAATTTGATAGATGTATGAGTTTTGAAAAAACATGTTCATGCAATCAAATTCTGATGTTCTTTTACCTAATTATAAGATCCTCTAGTCGTGACAGACGCAAATATTTTTAATATGACGGTTTTAAATTGAGAGTTAAGAATAAAAATGTCTTCCATAAGTACATAGCAAATCTAAGTTCTCATATTCGTAATGACTATAAATTTTCACGAAAATACAAACCCACATATTACAAGATGGAACATATGGAGTTAGCTGTCAGGCTAAGTGTAAAGCTAAGTCTTCAGTTTCTAAGAGACGATTGGTTGTAGCGTAATCTGAATACGATATCATATGAAAGACCATTAAAAATCAGGAAGTATTCAAGAACGGTTTTTTAGTTGTTTGACTCGTTACAAATTAAAATGCCTTAAACATTACAAAGAAATATATACATCCTCATGGTATGCATTAGATACTTAAAACTTGATGTGCACGTGAAATAATCAAACGGATTTCAATAATTGATTCTAATCAGTGACATGCTGGACACTTGAAATTGAATGAAGCCGGAAAATATGAACTGCTAAAAGGCTTACTTTGAATCACAAATATGGGAGAGATGCATGTTTAAAGGCAAAGTGTAGACTAAAGCAGCAAATACGCACTGTATTTTGTCACTAGCTATAGAGGATAATCGAAATCAAAGCGTTTTATTTTAAATAATCATGAACACTCCATTTTATGAGGGGTGTCCATTAATAACTAATCAAAGGAAGGAAATTACTATAAAAACCGCACGGTGTAGGATATGTTTCAGACTAATTTTATGCTTTATATCTGTTTGAAATCGAAACTCAGATAGTCACTTTTTCTTTTCTCGTCAATAATTTCATTTTAGAAGTAAGAGGTTATGTAAAGAAAAATTTCTGCCTATTGATAATATCACTAAGATTATCTAAAAATACCACCAGTGCCCTGCTATTACAGTCTAAATATATTCTTATCTTATTATCATGTGGTTTAAAAACTGTTTAAGAAATCTTATACTTCCCTATTCAACTCCATCAGTTTTGTAACACATATGGTTTGCATAGCTCAAATTTTAATGTGAATGATGTCGCATCTAAAAATCAGATGCCTTTTGAATAACGGAATGGATAGTCAGTGTATATTTAGAAGATTCAAAGTTATAAGTTGCGGTCTCTGATAATTTGCAAATACTGAAATCTGAATGATGCAGATTATCAATCTTAATCTTGAGTTTCAAATAAAGTAATGTTCAACTTTATTAAACAGTTAGAGGGAGAACAGTTTTACAAACTTGTATACACAACTAACATCGTTATTATTAGTAAACAAGTGCATTAATTTCAACTATCGGTGATAAGTGATGACTGAAACACATAAATTGGAATAATTAACTAGTATGTTTACGTAATCCAATGAACATGGAAATCAGGCGCTTCATACTGCTGTAGAACATGACAATCAACAGAAGATTTGTTTATTACAAATGGTATACATTATGCATATACACAGCTTTCGATCATCCGTTTGCATCTCACAGTGTGTTCTGCAGTCCATACTATCTTCTGGTCTAGTCATCGAGTGTTTTGTCTACAACAAGCTTCCGATGTACTGGAACTCTTCACTCTGTCTGACGACTGCAACAACTTCGAGGCCACGTTCCGCACCATACTACTTACAAGAAATCTTGTGAGTGGCGTCTACTACACTATTCTTAACTACATATACACTGCTTCCACAAGCAGCCAATAAACTCCAATCCTGGATGAATAACCTTTTAATAAATGTGATAAATAACCTAAATAAATGGTAGCATGGTATCATTTACATCTCTTGTATACCAGAACTGTTTTATCCCCGAACAGTACTCCGAATATCTATTACATCTAAATTATTTTTTCCTTCGCATGATAAAATTGATTAGTCTTAAACATATTTTTGTTATTTAAAAATAAATAAAGTAGTTTACTGGTTTTCACAAACTGCGCAAGCACAATGCCTAGCCCCTGCCTACTTTTTAAGCACTAACTATCTATTTTGTTACTGGCATTTTTCAATAAAATGAAGATGAACTTGAAGTTTTCATTGTGTATCTAAGAGACTTACATTGGTTTTCTAGAATTAGTTACCCGCAAGATTTTTAATAAAAGCTTTGACAGTTATAGGACCATTTCTTTTAGTTTTGTGATACATCCTATCTAGTTTTCCTCAGATTTTTAAACGTACTTTAACGATGACTGCTCGAGGCCATCATTCGAAAAAGATGAATACGAATGTATGTTTATAATAACTATTAAAGTTTTTTATATTTTAGTAGTATGAATTTCTTAAATTCAGTGATCAAATATTATATAGAACCTACATACAACTAATTTAAGTTTAACTTGCTTCAAATGGATCTTTAAAAGCATCATAGAAGAATCCTTGTGTTGAGTTTTCATGTGAGAAATTTAAGATAATTTGATGAATCATTAGCATACAGCAAAATCAGAAAAATATACTCCGTTCGTTATTAAGAAAATTTATTTATATCCCATATCATTATTAAATTAAGACACAAAAGGTTTTAGTGTTTTGTTTAGTTCATAGTAAATCTAAAAATTAGGCTTGGAATAGCACAACCGTTGAATACAATTGCTTATTTAAGGCAATAATATATATAATTGCAATGATAAATTTACTTACTTTCTTTACAATTCTTCCCCTGAAATCCAAGCGGACATAAACATGTAAAACCTTTTAAGTCCTGTAAACATTTCCCGTTGTTTAAACATACAGGGTTTGGAAATCCACATTCTTGTCCAGGACAATTTAAAATGTTCACGCCACCTATCGCATCCCTAATAGGATCAATAAGTACTCCGTTTGTTTCAATCTAATAGAATATTGTTTAAAAAAGATAAGAGACTCAAACGTTTTGAATACATGAAGCTAAAGTTTGCTACTAACGAAAAAAAAGCGGCACTTAAGGTGTATGGAATTTTCGGTTTTCTCTTTGTGAGAACACAAAACTGTATAAAAACAAGCAGTTTATCCAATGTATAAATGAAACGAAAATATTGAATTATGACTTTAAATTATGGATCCATTAATATTTATCTTTTGTCACTGAGATCTTCAGTGGGAATGAGATATATGGATGGTCCCGTTTCCACCTTATTTTTGAACTGACTGAAACTCAAAACCAGGATTACGATAGACCACATAACATGTAACTACGTGTGTTTCAAAATTGAAAAATTCATGCACCCAATACTGTATTTACTAAATAATATCGCCTCTAGAATACGTAAAATCACAGTCTTCAACCAATGAAATGAAACGGTTGATTATATCGTACATGTTGTTGTAAAATGTTGATCATTTTCCACCATAACAATTCAGCTTTAGTTCACAATTTAAATCCTATTCATAGATGTAATGAAGACTAATACTGACAAACATCACTTAGTCAAAAATCTTTATTACCCCATTCATTACAACAATTTGTTCGGGAGTTGAGCTTTGGAATGAGATGCACACAATACAAACTTGAAACAAATAGAAACGCTGTGCAGAAAACATTTCTATGAAAATCCTTTTTCCAACATCTTAAATGTCACTTTTGTATCATAAAAATTATTTGTAGTTTAGGGAGAACCAAGCGCAATTCATGAAAACAGAAGCCTTACTTCGAAGATTTGCTAACAATTGACGTATCTATTTATAACTTTGAAAAAGATAAGAGATTTTAAGTGTCCAGAAACACACATTTTAGAATAAATTAAGACCTTGAAAAAATTTCAACTTAGTCATAATTTAAGATTTAAGACTTATTGTTGACAGAAAGATTCATCTTGAGAAATCTAAAGTTCATCTGATCATTTAAAATTATAAGTAAATGCACGGTTCTACTATTTGTAGAGAAAATAAAAGAGAGAATCTAGTGATCTAAAAATACGAGATAACTGCAAAGTATTGTTCTACAGGTAATACAGCCAAGTGACATACTTTACTGATGCATCCTTGAAATCCAATACTCAAATTTGTTGCATATCCAATAAATGGTTTTATATGGGTTGATATAAAATTAGTATTTGGATGTCCACCAAGATACAAAGAGTAAGTTAACGTTAGCTGAACTTGTAAACCGAATGAGTAATTTGTCATAATATGCTCATCTGAGTCGACTTGGAGATAACCATCACGACCAATTCTCCAAAAATGGACTATGTGCCATTCATTTAATTTTATTTCTTTCTCATTCCTAAGTATAAAAACGGAAATTATTTTATTAAAATTCAAGAATGCCTTTATTGAAAAGATATTCAAGGTATCTGTCTATCGTAGTTGTAGAATCATAGTAATAGAAAACAAACCACTTGGGGATAAAAAGATTATAGGGAAGGTAGAAAGAAAGCAGATGGCCGCTATAAAAGTAAGGAAGGAAAAAAGTAACAAGAGATTGAGACCACGTTAGAAGAATGGGTTGTGCAAGTTTCTTTGTACAAATAATCCTAGTCTCTCCAGATGTACGGCAAGTTCTTCGGTAATGCTAAAAAGACGGAAACTAGCTGGCTTTGTCAGTCTTCTGCTTGCCTTGGAGATGACTTTGAACACAGAACCCGTTATGGTCGAATGACTATTGTTCACAAGGTGTTCCACCGTAGGGCTTGTTAATCAGTCGTTCTCAGCTATTTTCAGCCAAGTCGAGTAACGTTTTTAAATTCTTTCGGATAGAATACGCGTATAACAACCTATATACCTGGCTCCACACGAATAGGTAAGTTAATAAACGCACATGGAATCGGTCGAATGAAATAACCTATTCATTTTAGCGCTTAAATATCCATAAAATATGACTGATTCGCTAATCAAATTTGGTTGCAAGTAGGTTAGTCAGTTCTTCTTACTGTTTCCAAGAACTTATGCTATATGTTATATATTATTATTAGTCTAGCATTTTAAAAGCTAAGAATCCTCTCATATATATTTGGATAAGAAAATCTAGCCATAATAATCCCAGCAGTCATCCATTTGGGGAGGTTCTGTATTTAGAACTTCATACTGCTAACAGAAACATTATCACCCATATTGGCTTGTCATGTTACTCTGATCCTTAGCGTTTACGAACTAATAGTAGGTATCTTCTAATCTAGGCTTAAAAGCTGATGAAATGAACTTCTAAATTTTAACCACAAAACCGAGTAATCTTACCCCCCCCCTGCTTTAGCCCACCGCAACGTCCACAAACTTTGCAAGAAGTGACCCATCTGCAGAATAGAAAATACAGTCATATCTTGGTCCCCAATTTTAATATAGATATCTCGAATAAACAATACTCCATGGTCTTTAAGTTAGAGCCTGGTTAAGGCATTTGCCGTTCTACTTATAACCATTAAAAACAACACCAAAACTTGGTGCTTTTTAATAGCAGTGTGCAGCCTTCTATTTCTTTAACATCAACTAATTTTGAATAACATTCGTATTGTAAGGTGTGGTCGTGATCTTTGTTAGCACTCAAGAACCGAGTACCAGACTGAATATTATCCGATTACTGTGTTCAATTATTTTCTCATCTGCTATTAAACTTCCGGGTCGGAGTCGACTATATACTCTCAAAAAATAGAGATAAGCTTACTTTAAAAACGCTGAACCGGAACCTAAGTCAAACGCCACTACAACATATCCATGAATTAACATAATAGCCAAGAAGTCCCCACGCCTATCATGACTATAACCTTCATATAAAATCAGCCCGTTTGGTTGTGATGGTCTAAACTGAAGTTCCAAGGTGGTGAATGATGATGATGTTCCACTCAATCCGATATACTCGGTGTACGAATATCCGTTGTAGAACGGCATTATTAGCTCAACTCCTGTGAGGAGATAACAAAAAAATATATAGATAAATACAAGTTCATAAGCTAATCATTAAAGTACTAATGAATACCAAAAATAAATTTTAGAGAAGCAAATCATTGATTTCTAAGGGAATAAAAATATCTTTGCTAGAAATTGGTTTAAACCGAGAACAAATGATTACCAAAATGATGCAACACTATATTAAAGCTTCGGATTCTCATACAGTAATCACTACTTTTGTAATCGGCTTGAAATGAAAAAAAAATTCTGTATATGGTCCTGTCATACATAGAATAAGTTATTTTTGTACGGTAGCCGGGTTGTGAGAAAGAGAGAGTGAGAAAAGTAACTAAATCAATTGTTCTAAATAAAATATATCATTAAAAATTGGACTTGTATAGCAGCGGAGAGTTTACACAACTTTTTAATGGTTTCCAAATAATTCGAAATAAATTCGAGTTGATATATCTATGGGGAACCTAGAATAAACGAAGCTTGAGCATTCAGTCGAAAGAACTACACTCTATTGTATGTTATGATACATTTCTTGTCTGCGTTTTATGTACAAACTCAAACTGTTTAACAAAGCATTCAATTATGTTGAATCTACAATGGAACATGAAGTGGGAGGTAAACACCATTTCTTACATGTGGGGATCAAACGGATTTCAGATGGAAAACTACAGAGACACGTCTACCACGAAAATACATAGAGTGAAGTTTATTTAAACTACATCAAATTTTGTTCATTGAGTTATAAAAATGGGGATTGTATGAACCCGTTATGACCGCACTCGTAAACTCTGCTGAAAGGAAGGTCCGGAAGAATAACTTGCCTTTATTACAACTTGCTTACGTGAAATGCATATTCAGCGATATTCATCAGGAAGTATGTCAAAACCAACGTACGTGTTGAGTACGATATGGTGGGAAAGAAAATCCGCTTCTTATAATTGCGCTTCAAATGATATAAAGTCACTGGAATAATTAGTCAGGGGATAAATGTCTCAGTGAAGGTTGTTTATTCATCAGCAAGAATGACAAAGTTATGCTAAATGAACTGCTCACTCAAACAAATAAAATTTGACAAGTTCTCTTTTCTCAGTACCACCGATTTATATGTACGTCCCAAAGCACATACATTGGAAGAACAGAGAGAAGAATATATGTCCGCACTTTTGAGTACATACCAAAAACTTTTACACTAAGAGGCTCAACAGCTCTAAATAATGCAATAGCCCTCCATTTAATTGACACTAAGGTTGTCATTAACGTTCCCTAATTCTTCAAAGTTATCAGAAAACAAAAATGTGAAACGTCTCGCCGGTTTGTTGAAACAGTAGCAATTGAAGAACTTAACTTATGTGTTCATAACGAGATATTAACCAATTTATCACTACATTGGTAAATTTACAGTTTTGACTCATTTCAACTGGAATTATTACTTTTTTGTTATTATCATTATTAATATTATTTTATTAGTGTTTATTTAGTTAGGTGGTCTTCGTTAAACTAAATCTCATCTAAGTACACCAAACTCATCACTTCCTTCAGCGGTTTTCTTGTTCACTCATTTATTTAAACTCTTCAAATCTTGTTTTATTATTACTTAAAACATCCTAACAATTTCTAATTCTAGACAAAACTACCAACTAATGACTAAATGTCTTTTATATCTACTTTCATGTGATTTCAATCCTATTTAAACTCTTCACAACTTTTATGATTATCAAGCTATTTACTATACGTGTTTCCTCACTTCATTTAATTACTGACTCATCTCCATTTTCAGATGATCTCACATGTACATGCACATATATATGATTGTACAGCTTGATAACAAATTCGTTGAAAAGAGATCACTTCACCAAACTTCGTGTTTTTATTGTTCAAGTGGAAATTGTCTATTTATGTTTAAGCCGACACACAAATCCGCATGCATACTGAGAGAAAACCTATCTAAATAGAAATCGGCTGAACCATTATAATCAAAGACACTAACAGCATTCTTCCCCCAAATCCTGGAATCGTAGTTTACGTCTTTTCTATCAGAAATTTTAAAAAAAAACGAATAAAATTGGCTACATTTGCTTCCATTGATTCTGACGAATAAAACAAATAATAGATGAAAAATATTTTTTTCAGTCATTTACCTACATATCTTAATAGGAATTTTAACCTCATTAAAATACGGGCGATTATTTTCTGAAATGTGTATCTGAAGATAAAAGATATTTGAAGTTTTTACTGTTACTGTCAGAAGTATGTATTTAACTTACTTTGTTCACACTGTCGACCCGAAGTTCCCAAAGGGCATTGACAAATAACACTGGAACCAGATGTTTGCAAACACGAGGCATTATTTTTGCATTTTTTCTTTTCACATAAACCAAAACCACAATTAGCTGAAACCAGATAAGAAAACTGTAAATATTCTCATTCACTAGTGGAATCAGTGAACTATTTCAGGACATTATAAGTATAGATACTTCGAGAGACGTGTAGTATTCATTTTATCAATCATTCTGTATACGTAGTAGATGTAAAATCTGTAAACGTTTTGATTAAATTAGACGTATCATACTGTCTTCGTGACTACTTGTAACTTTGTGGTTATAATTAACATTTTAGATAGGTAGAAACAAAAAGTGATCAATAATAACATGACTGACAGATATACGACTACATAAATATATCAATTTGTTCTGATGATTTCAAGCTTGCGAAGTCAAGTTAAGAATCCATGTTCAAAACAAATATACCTCATCTATCCTAGTCATAACCTGTGTTTCATCGTAGTCAGTTAACCACTACCTCTACATCATACAAAAAGCTAAATTAGGTCATCTTTCCGATCATTTTTAGTGTGATTTAGTCAACATCACTTCAATAACAACACGAATTTTTTTTACAAAACCGTTGTAAGAAAGTATAATGGCCATATTTCATTATGCAAAAATGAAATCTATCAAAATTCATGAGTGACAAAGTTGTAGATGTTTACAAGAAATCAATACACTGATTAATAAAACAAAAAATGAATGCAGCTTAACTTACTAATCCCATACCCATCCACAGCATCTCCTAAGAAAGCCTTACGTCTAGGATCTATAGGAACTTCATTAATCCGTATATTTTGTATGCAGCCACTATAACTTTGCTCAAAAATATAACCAAGAAAATGAATTGGACCTCCTGTTTTAGTTAATTCAGGATGTCCACCAAACGAGACATAACTGAACTCCATATCATTGACATTTTTCAGATATTTTTCATAATGTATAACATCCGACCATGGAATGACCTATAATTTTCATATATTAAATAATTCATGACAGGGAGTAGGAATAATCAAAATGATTCATTCCTTTATTATTATTTTACTGACATTTATAGGCTCCTTACAACTATAAGGCGATATTTATTACAACCATAAAAATGATCTTATATTGTCAAGTAAAGTTTTAAAAATTAATGGGTATAAAATTTCAATGAATTAAAAGAAGAAAAATATTGTCATGAAAATGGATGGTCATTAAAGTGCCACTTAAGAAATTTTCCGTTTCAATTGTTAAATTATATCAAATAAAATCAACATACATAGTCGACTTCTCAAAAGTCTTTCACTTGAATCAACAAACATATAACTTCACATATACTCCAGTAATACAAATTAAAACTGAAATATACGTGCAAAAAGTTTCAAAATACAAGTATGAAGTATTTGCATGCTTTTAAACTATTCTTCTGGTTATCCAGGTTGTATTAAATTATAGTGAAGCCAGTACAGGTTAATCAGTTTATCTTATTCTATACATTATACTCTAAATTATTAGCCTACAAAACATCATGTTAATTTATAAACGCTCTTTATTCATTCAGACGCAAGGTCCCCTAAAAAGAAAACAATAATACTGTTTAATATATATGAGAGTGAATCAAATAAAGACTTATGAATGATTTTAGGACTTAAAAGAATTATATCCAAAGCTAACTGACTGACTGACAGATGTCCTACTTATATTAACTTAGACAAGAAAATTATCTAATTCCTAAACAAATTATTGATCTATACAATCAACTAATTAAAGGAGAAATGTAGTGGTGACAATGACAGACAAGCTGTAAGATTTCTTAATTACTTTAATTATAAAACTTTATTCATTTCAATTCATTAGTCAGTTTGGATATTCACTTCCAACAGTTGAAAAATCAGATGTTAAAAAAGTGATTTTTTTTTAAAGTTCATTTCGCCTATTTAAGTACTGTATATTTGTACTGAAAATCTTAGTTTAACTTCTATGAAAATGTAAACTCGTAATTTACACAAACTGAATTACCTAACGCTTACACCAATAATGAAATTATATTTGTAAATATATGACCGGTTGAATTTAAAATTAATCCAACATTTCTGTCTTCAGTCTGCTCCAAGCTTCTTTAGGAGAAATAATCAAACATTAAAATTACCGAATATCATTCAAAAATTAACTGTATGCTAGATGTTATAAATCGAACATGTCAGAGGATGAATAAAATGAGAATAAATAAACAAACAAATATATGCAATTTTGTGTTATTCCACTAAATAATCTGATTGTTCAGAACAATTGACTGATTAGAGCAAATCGATGGGGAAGTATATTGTTGTTGTCCACGAAACAAGAGAAGAATTAAGTGAAGTAAAATGTAAAATGATATACAGTTTTTTTCCGTAGCAATTACTCTTTGCCATGGGATCTACCTAATGCTTAGTATGATGCAGCTTAGTGTCTGATTTTACTAAGAAACATTTTGGTATCCAGAATTTATATAATAATTCAAGAATTATTCATAGATATGAATTTCATTCAAGCATTTTCATTATGAATTTTCTGTGAATTTAGAGTTTAAACTGTAAGAATTTGTTATGTGATGCCCAAAAAGTAGGCTAAACATTCGGTCATAATTGGTTGATAGCTGAATAAACTCAAAGCTAATTTTCTTCAGTCTCCTGTGACAGCTTGCCATTTTTATTCTGTGTTCGCATTCGATATATAAATGTTATTTTATTAAGGGAAAAAGCTGTCTCGTCTTCGAATTCTAATCAGTTTGGATTTCACGTCGATAATACGGCCTCGTGAGTAGTCGTCGCTCAGCTACAATTCACACAACTGAATTTATCTCTCTATTACTATTATATCCGTTGATTTTACAAATCGTAAATTTCGTTTTATCAATCATCATAAACTACTTCCATAATAAATTACGATCGATAGCATTCGATCTGCACTAATAAGGACTAGACAAGCATGACATTGATCACCACCCAGTGATCAATTAATTGTGATTACATCTCAGTCCTACAGGAGGTCAGTCGCGGCTCGGATAGCTCAGTGGTAACGTCTCTGACTGTGAAGCTGGGTGACACGAGATCGAATCCGCCAGGGAGCACCAGTTCCCTCAAGATTACAGGTACACCTTGCTGACGAGTGCCAAGTAGCACGAAACCCGGGTCCAGGGTTTCCTGTCGACTACCTCCAACCACCATCTAAATAGATTACTTGTAAAATGTTTTGGAGCTCATGTGATGGGATTTTCCAGGTTTTCCTGTTATTAACCTAACTGTAAACACATAATTTATTTCCAAATATGCACAGGTCTGTTGTGAGATAGGAACTCACTGAAGACAATGGTGTACGGTAGCGCAACTTCGTGGATTGGTTGAAGTTAGACATTAACACCGTTGGATGCCGGCTCAGTGGTCTAATGGTTAAGTGCTCGCGCGCGAAGCCAGTAGGTTCTGGGTTCGAGCCCCGGGTGGTGCGGGGTCGTGGATGCGCACTGCTGAGGAGTCCCATACTAGGACGAAACGGCCGTCCAGTGCTTCCAGGTTTTCAATGGTGGTCTAGCTTCAACTGACTCATGAGTTCAATCTGTGAGAATAACATACGTTTTTGACTGGTATGATTATTTTAAATTGGTGTATCCATAAGCTTTTCCATCACCTTTCTAAACAATCGTTCAACCTTTCAAAGTATGACTGCAAGCAAATTGATATTTCATGCAATACTTAATCCCTTAAACATAAAACCCTTTCTATATCATAGAACGAAGTACAAAACTTGAGTGAGCATATCCACTTTCTATGCTGTATAGTCTTGTTATATTATTACATTTGTTTGACAAAATTACCAATTTATGATTATGATAAAATCCATTTATTCGGTATCCCTATGTAAAGGGACTCTTATCTGAATTTGTGTATTCTTTTGCGAACTAATGAAAATTTGTATTTGAATTATACATGAACTAATAACATTTGTATACGCATTTGCCTACTGAAATATATTAAAGTACCATCATTTTTCAGTAAAAAATTAAATTTAAAGCTTCAAATGTAGTTAGAAAATATAGAAGGACAGTATTAAAGGGAAACTTATTTTCATATAAACAGCATCTTTAATTCCATCAACACTCAGGAAACCTTTTCCATCAGCTGTCTCCCCAAAGGAGATATAATACCACTGCTCACTGTTAAGGAATGTAAAATGCTTAACTTCCTGGATTTCCTCTTTACGATAGGGTTCATAATTTGTTTTCGAAATTCGCAGAGATCTAAATAGAAAAAATGGAATACATCAATAAAAAGACGTTGTGTCTTTAAAAGAGTGTGAAGGTATCATTTTCATTGGAAACGTTTAGCAGATATTTACTAATGTGATGAATCGGAATTTAATGCATGTCTATTAAGGGACCACCTAATTAAGTCAATGAAGTGAACTCTCAAATGTTATTTTAATCTACGTGAAATACAGATTGTCGTACCAGATACACCGTTTGTAGAACTTAAGATGACACTTTATATGAAAATATTCAGCCTCTTGGAGTTTTATTTTACAAAACCTATAAAGACTTAACCAATCATTATAAAATGGGATGAAGGCTGTTTAAAATATTTTTAATACGAAACACAATATAGAAACATATCAGCAGTAAGTTCACCAACTTAATTTCAAGAAATATGTACCATTTAGAGAAACCTTTGTAATGTTACTGATCAAAATGTTAATAATTAGGTTTCCTAATCGTTTAGATTAAAATGAACTAAACGTAAACAAGATACATTACTTCACATGCCGTTTCCTTTTTTTCGCAAACCTACTGACTTAAGATTTGTATCTGTCCATCAGTTGTTATCGCAACTATGTGCAAACCTATAGATATGTAAGATAAGACATGACGCTTATCATAACATACATTTCTCTTTTAGTTATCAAAATCATATGCTGTGTATTCCAGTGGTAATTCCTCTGTCATGTCTCCTGAAACTCCAACACCTGCTTTCTTTTTTACTAAAAGACAGTTTGTCAGAATGTTTGCATGTTATAATCTATTTATCAATGATAATCTCGTGATTATATTCAAACACAGATAAAATAATCACTCAATATTTAATCGTAAGTTCATCTATTAAAAAATTCTGCAGAACGCTTGCAAATCTCATCAAATGCGAATACTATAAAACTGTAGCACTATCATTTGCATTCTCAAATAATAAAACCAGCATCGATAACAAACTCCACTCCTTCAACTAAGCAAATATTTTGGCCTATTTGCGTGCGACGAGAAAGTAAAATTAAAACTGAGTTAAATGTTAATTAATCGGAATTCTGCTAACTCAAAAGTATGATGTTACATTCTAAATATACCTAACAAGGTCATATCAATGATGCAATTTTGAAACGGAAACAGTCGATTCATTGTTTCTAGAATGGACCCTCTCAATCAAAACACATCTATATTTCAAAACGTCTACTAAAAAGAGAATAAAAATGACTAAAAAGAAAAGTCGGATGGTAGAATTAATCAGTAAACTTGTTGAGGGGAATCTAATCACCAAGTTGACTAATAATGTTTTAAACATTATGAATCTCGTTTGTCCCTTAAGTTACATGAATGGATTGTCCCATTACAATGCATGCTGTTAATTTGATCAATTAATCACAAAGTCGCTTGTTGGCCAATGTAACCAGTTTGCTGACAACTGACCCCGTAAGAATAAGTATAATCTTTTGAAAAATGAAGTCGAACCATTATTTCCTATAGGTTTATCTGGTCATTTGGTGTAACTTCTCTTCTTGATGAGACAAGCATCACGTGGAGTAAAATGATTTTTGTTAATGTAAACTAAAGGTGTTTTAATACGAAATTGAACATTTTGGAATGCTTTTATCATATCTGACAGAATCCTTTCTACAAGTGTATGAAGAATGAATTATTCACTTTTGTTTATTATTTTCATACCCATCTATTTGAGAATTTTCCCAATAAAAGTAGATTAATATATCTGACATAACATAACATAGATGTAAGTAACTCTGTCTTCTGACTTCCGTTTACTATCAGTCATCTGTTTTGCTCATTACGTTAATTTGATGACTATTTTAGGGTATTTTCTTGAATAACCGTTATTATGAAAATACAGCATATTTAATATTAACAAACTAATTGACTATGAAACATAAATCGTTTATCATAGTGGCTAAAGTTAAGCTTTAAGGTCCCTAAAATGCTGTGTAATAAAGATAATATTATGTAATAATAACAATAATAATACACATATCTAACCTGTATACTACGTATCCATTTTCAATACTGAGTGAAAACTTAAAATCTCCCTTATTTGACTCGTGGGATACTAATAAATAATTTCCATCAGTAAGGCTTGGTCGTATTTCAAAGTCCACTTTATAGGTATTAGTACTATTCATTGACACTTGATTACTTCTTTCGATAAAACTTTGATTGATACCACTGTATAACGCAGACGATTTAAAATAAAATTTTAGATAACCACCTTGCTCGATATACGGAAACTGGTATCCTTCATCCACTGTGAAGAATTATAAAATCCCAAAAATAAAAGTAATGTGAAAAGAGCTATTATGATCAGCTTTAATCAGTAACATACTTTGAGAGACATAAAGAATAACTCTGCAATAATTCAGTATAAAAGTATAATTATTTTGAATTTTTGGATCACTCAGTAAAATCTGAAAATTTCTCACTGTGACTTCAAGACATATCTTAAATACATTCCTTCATATGACGTGAATTATATGTGATAGTTGTAACTAAATAATCCTGCATAAATTTGAATAGGTGTATAATTTCACTTGTTTATTTCCATCATACAGTCTATACTATGCTAGCAACTTTAAATATAACTAAAAACGTAATTCATTTTGTATTGGTTGTTTGAATCTTCTCATTGAAGTCTAGAACTGAAATCGATCAGTTTCTTATTGGTATATGTGTATCATGTGCTCGTTGCCTCATTATTGCCATAAGTCACAAACATTAAAGGCAGAGATCGACGTTGGCTAGCACTGGGGTTTAGGACGCTCGTTTGGTCTTACTTAGGACTCATCAGTCGAATGTACCGGCATCCCACGGTTAATTTTCACTACGGGATTCGAATACCACCGAGTTACCTGCTTAGCTCTTCAATCCAGACCAACTTTGTAGTGCAGATGCACCCACCTGACGAGTTCCAAGTAGGACGAAACGCGCGTTATGGATTCCGGTACTAACCACCATCTATAACCAAAAACGGTTTGGGCGAAATTCAAAGTATCCATTGTATAGTCATTTGACAAACGGACACGAAATAAAAGTTCTGAATTAAAATTTGATTGATAACTGGCATTCAAACTTTAACACCCATTCAGCGAAAACGTTCTTCAACTAGAAGATTTTACTGACTCAAATGAAATAATAGGTTAACTAATAAAATGCCTTGAAATGGTTATAAAGTTCAACACCTAACTTAAAGTAACGGATAGTAGTCAGTTTAAAAAATGGAACACAATAACTTAATTGAGGGGTAGAAAACACTGTTTCGTATACAAATTATCAGTCTTAACGAGCAATGAAGCTGATATTTGGATGAGCATACATGATATGCACTAGAAATGGTATAACACTCAGTTGCATTATTGTGATAAAACGCTCCTAAATATTTTGGATCTCAATTGCTAGTCACTAGTTTTAATACTAGCAGTGAAGTTTACAGTAAGCAAACGGAAATCATATTTTTTTAAAATTCTATCTAATAAATGAAAAGCCAATGAAACTTGATTATAAAATAACCACTTATTAAAACAAAACTATCATTAATTATGTCGATTAGTCTGAAATAATAGAAAAATGGAGAAACTATACTGTATACCTCTTTCCTTCGCTTTTATGAATGATTTCCGGAGATAATGTAAGATGACAAATTACCAGTGCATAAAATAACTTTCAGATGCTTATAATTTAAAAATGATTTATAAGGTGGATAGTTGAGCGCAAATTTAGAATTAAAAACTTATCAGAGCTTGACAATTTTTGAAAAATAGTAATGCTAGAAGTAAATAAAGACACCCAAGCATTTTATGCTGAAGTATGAAAAACGGCTTTTGATACACTTAATAGAAATGAAACTTTAGGATATAATGTGCACATTTTTAACGAACCTGAATGATAGCTGAAAAGAATTAGAATTAAAGCTCTAAACCGTAGTTAAGTAGATTCCAAAGAAAACCAGAATAAAGTAAATCAACTGTTAAATATTCTCAATTTTCAATAGTTTTAAGTAATATTGTAATGAACGAGACCGCAGATGGGAACAACCAATGTATTTTGATACGAAATTACAGAATATCTTGGTAAAATATGCGAGACATACATTGAATACTTCATTTACAATTTTTCATAATTTTTTCTTCACATTCTGTATGATTCTTCCTATTCGCATTCCGTTTCTATCTGCGTTTCCCTTCTCTTCAACTTGATCTTCTCAAACTTCTGCTGCCAGGGTTTCCACTTCAGTTTGGCGTCATATACTACTTAGGTCGACAGATATAAGTAGCATACACCACATTGTTACTATTTTTGGAGAGCATTCTTCATTAGTTACGGAACCTAGAGAAGCAATCTCATAATTTCAAATATTTCATTCCTAATCAAGAGTGCTAAACATACCGATATATCGAAAAACGTTTCGCTTATCTAAAAACGCTTCACAGTCAACATAATCGGTTACTCGATAATCAACGAAGTACAAAAACAGAAAGTTTCTCAGAATAATTATCTCATTAGTAGTTGATTTTTAAACTTTAAGGGAATTAATCAGTCGGCATCCATTTCTCTAAGTATATTTTGTAAAATTCAAGCAAAATATGTCAATTAAAACGGGTGTTCCAGAATTCTAACGAACAGTGGTTTTATCATTAAAGTTTCCGTCACCAGCACTTTAAATGTAATCTATAACAATATACCACAGTTTTACAGCATGGAATACATCATACATATTTATTATAAGTCTAAGGATTAGAAAAATTGAAAAGTATTCCTTGATAATATATTGAAAAAACTCTTACTCTTTAGCTTTTAAAAGGATAAATTATAGTATGAAGTAAATAAAGTTATAATCATAATAACTGTTCACAGTAATTTACATAACTTGCTTTTCATTGAACATAATCAACGCTAATGAATAATACAAGGGTTTATCATCTACATATTGCTACAACTACACCAAGCCGTAACTTACTATTGAAAACTTTGAATCGCACAACGCAGACGTACTACAAAGACGAAAGATGAGGATTTATCCATATTTCGAAAATTATATCTGAATACACTAATTTTTATGTGATTTATTTACAGTCAGATGCGTATTTGATAGATTAGTATTTAACGTCAACTAATCTGTAGGCTACTATGTGAACAGACATTTACGATATTCACTAAAATGAATGATTCCTTATAAAATGTGACCACATTCATAGGTGATTGTTGTTATTATCA